TATGACAACTCTGCAGCATCTCATCCATCAGATTTGTAGATAAAATTGGGAATTATAAAGTCTAAATGATTGCAACCTTATAGAATTTTTAAATTCTTGCTCTAACTAACCCTCTATTTTTGTATATATATTACCTGATTTTGAAGTATATGAAGCTCATATTGTAATTGATTGAAATGATCTAATGATATGCCTTGTGTTTTCCTAAAAGGATGGATTCTAATGAAATCTATCTAATATATATATATTATATTCCAGTCTCTAGGATTATATAAGAAAGAACTAGAAGATGATCCAATAGTTAATGCCCATTTAGTTACTCTGTATGATAATTTACTAGAACAAAATCTCTGTCGTATTATAGAACCTTTCTCTAAAGTACAGGTAAGTAAATAAGGGATAATTTAATCAGATCAATTTATTTTCATACAAAGCATTGTCGAAAGATATTTACATCAATCATTATTCAAAATGTAATCCATAACTTAAGGAAAATACAGCAGTGGACCTTCCTCAGGTATCTGAAATGGAGATTAATTGATGTTTATAATATATATGCTAGCACATATATGTTGGAATTATGCCTTTACTGAACAACTGACAGTAGCCATTATAAGTTCACGAAAGTTTTAATATATATTTATTTATTTTTATTTATTTTGTTTATAGGTTAACCATGTAGCCAGTTTAATCAAATTACCAGAGGTAAGAAGAAATTTATTATATGAGTTATTTTCAAAGTATTATGTCCCCTCTTAGATATCACCTGAGACACATAGCAGACATGCTTACTTAAAATCAATATTTTGGTCATCATTTGAAAATTTCAAAGATTTAGAAATGTTTTGAGGCAAGTTCTAAATGAAGATCCAGAATAATTCACTCTAGTTTTGGCAATGAATGCAATGCAGATTATTATTTGTAACAATATTCTTTGAACTTTGCAGGTTGTAGTAGAGAAGAAATTATCTCAGATGATTTTAGACAAGAAATTCAGTGGTTAGTTTGCTAATATCTAATCTAATATTATAAATTATAAATACTTTAATCTGTGAACAAATTATGTGAGCTATTTTGCATTCCAAAATCAGCTTCGCCTTCAGTGATAAATACTAGTATTCATGGTGATATCCGAAGTAAAATCGCATGATTTTGAAGTAACTGTAAAAATTCAATTCTGTAAACACAATAGCAGGTGAGGTCAATTTTGTTTCTGTTATATTACAGGTATATTAGACCAAGGAGCTGGTGTATTAGTTATATTTGATGAAACACCAATAGATAAAACATATGAAAGCACCCTGGACACCATACAGAATATGGGAAAAGTTGTGGATGCTCTGTACAATAAGGCTAAAAAACTCAGTTAAATCATTGTTTCATCTGTTGTAGACCACTTGTAATTCAATCTCATGTTTGTAATATATTTATCTTCAATTTGATGTGTTGTTTTTTTCTTTGGAAATCTTTTCTAGAAAACCAGGTATGATTGGGTAAAGATTATCACAATAGAGTTCTGTGGACATTTTACGGCTTTTCCCTTCTGACGCAAAAAGAAGCTTTACCAGCTTTTAAATGTTGGAATTGGTTTTAGCAAAACCTAATATTTCAATTGATTATAATAGATTTGTGTCGCAGTCAAAATGTAAACACTTCATTGTATAAGGCAAACTTATATTGTGTCAGAGTTGCTTGATTGGTGATTCACATTCATTGAATCAACCAAATGTTCAATTTAACTAGTTGGCTGAAAATATCGTAAGTTTAGACAGCATTCAAAATTTTTGAATGTGACGAATCTATTTCCCTGTCGTTCGATTGAGGCAAGAATTGGAACAGAGAGAACCTGTTCAGAACTCTCCTATCAACACCCTAAAATAACCTTGACTGCTTGTATTTATGTTTTGATTCATAGTGATCTAGGATGCTGATAAAAATATGGATCTGTTCTCTTGTTTACAACAGCGCAGTTTCATAACTCTAAAGAACATCACATTCAAGTATCTTTGCTAGTCAAATCTTCCTCATTTTCTTTCTCACCTGACTCTCTTCGGACAATAAATACAAAACAGTTGAAATAAATCTGTTTAATAATACACAAAATCATTTTTGAGGTGAAATAATTCTCTTCGAAAGAATTCATTACCCGCATTGCTATTTACAAATATTTAACTTTTTTTTGAAGATATTTCACAGAAAATACACTCAAAATTTTACTGGAAAACAATTATTAAATATCTCAAAATATCAACATTCAAAAATCAACAGTCATAATCTGAACACATCTTAACAATATAATCTTAATCAGTCTGAAATATCATTAGCAATCTCATCAGTTAGTTTAAAACAGTAGCATGCATTGTCTATTTGATCAACCAATAATACCAAAAGTTACTCTCTAGGTATTCGTTGCAAATGAACCTTAAATGACTATTTATGGTAATCAGGGACTATATTTAATGAAACTTCACAGTTTTCTGTTTACTTTTTGGAAACTTATTGGCTTACAATGAAGCCTTGTCATTGAAACATATATAAGAGATAATCTAAATGTATTTAAAATGTTATTAAACTGAACCTGGCTGAGCTTTGCAAACCCCACACCCCTTTCAAATTTCTTATTGTACAAAGTAATCGAATTGTCTCTTGAAAATTCTTAGGGCCATACTCTGCCTCTCACCTCATAATTCATTAAACAACCTCTGGCACCATACTTATCTAAATGGCAACATGTGAGTCAAAGTTTGCCAAATCCAAATCTTATCCAAATTTCAATATGAAATCTAGAGAAAGATTTCGATTGGATATTAGTAACAGCTTTTTATTACCATTCAACAGCTTTCCAACAGTAATTATTCAAATTTTTCTGGCCAGTCCAAATTCTACATTTCTAGTGGACTGGTATTGTTCAGTCTAAATAAGAAATGGAAATAGAAATTTCCAAGACTGTCACTGTGAGATTCTTGCGATGAGATCTAATAACTTCTTTGTATATATTGTAACAATTTAGAATTCCATTGACATTTTACAATTAGAAAAATAATCTTATTCCTTCTAGCACTACCATCACTTAAATGCAGAAATTGGGTTTGTTCAAACCTAATATTTCTATTGAATATTTGCTTCTTAACCAGATAATCTTAAAAACCAAAGACGTCTGGGCCAAGCATCATGTAACTTCAGAATTTCTGTACAATATATGAAATTTTGCATTTCCAATGAACCAAAATAATTCATATATTTTACATTAGAGAAGCTAATAACAAGCTTTACAAGGTCATAGTAATTTATGCCTTTACACCCTCTTTCATGTAAGACTGGGTTGAAAGACTGTACCGACACACTTCAGTTTAAACATCTCCATATTTAAATCTGCCCACTAAATCATGATCACATGGTCAGCCATGAAACAAAAAATTGCCCCAAATATTGAATTTTATTTAATTAAACAAAGATGATAAGAAACTTGCTATGAAAGCATACCATTACCAGATAAGGATCGTAAAAAATGACAGAGAAAACTGTCCAAACCCAAGTTTTTGTTCCATGGCTTTTAGATAAATCATGCTTTCCATAGGTTAATATTGTTTTCTATTTGAAGGTTTTCTTCACTGTTAACTCCTTAATAAACAGAAAATCCTTCAAAGCTCTGGGCATGGGCAGAATCTCAATTTTGTCCAATAAATTGTGCCCTGCTCTCTTTCTAATACAACGTCGACACAACTGCTGTAGATTCACAACTGATTGCATGCTATTTCTGAGTAATATGATCATGTCATCTTGTTCATTGGGACGTGAGGGAGTATAGTTGGTGTAGAAATTGTCACGAGCCGCGTAATCAACGTAACCAAGGGACGCCAACAGCCGACAGATTTCGTAATGTCCCTTTTCTGCTGCAAGTTGAAATATAGATTTATATATACCATTGGGAAAGTATTTGGCAGGTACGTCAATATCACAGTTAGAAACTATCATTAGTCGAATAATTTCAAGTTTATTTGTAACCACAGCATCATATGCAGCCGTCTCGCCTTGATGATTATAAATATCATGGCGACTTCCAGCAGCTAACAGCAGATCTGCAACAGCACTGTAGTTTCTCTTAATAGCAATATGTAGAGCAGTGTCGCCAGTCTTAAATTCACGTCGATTTAAATCACAACTTACTTCGATCAATCTGGCAATAGCCTCTTTATGGTTGTAACAGACGGCTTCCATTAATGGAGTCCTGCCCCAATAATTCTGAACGTCAATCAAACTACCTGCCGAGAGTAAGATGTCTATAATGTCTACACAACCATTTCTAGCGGCATAATGTAATGCCATATCACTATTACGATCTGTTATGTTAAGATCAGAATTTGCTCGAAGTAATCGGAGTACTGCGTCGGTTTTGTTGTTACGGACAGCTTTCATGAGGGGAGTTTTAGATGTGATGTCTTTTGAGTTAACGTTCACCCCTCTTCTTATCAACACGTCTAGAATTTGACAATAACCATCATCAGCAGCATAATGGCACGGAGAGTTGCCAAATGTATCTTTCGCATCTAGTTTAGCCCCCGCAGCAATTAGCAACAACATACAAGCTATCTTATGTCTCAAGACAGAGAAATGTAATGCTGTCCTTCTCAAAGTGGTAGTGGTTCTATTAACATCACATTTGGACTCTATAAGGTACTGTAGCATGTAGGTGTACCCTCTGTAAGAAGCTAAATGGATCGGACACAAATCAGAATGGTTCTTTTTCCTCACTTCCACAAATTTAGCATTCAAATCAAGCTTATGTTGGGTGACTAAACGTTTCAATAATTGTAATTCATTATTCAAAACGGCATCATAGAACTCGATCCCTGCCATTTGGGCTCGTAACAACATCTCCACGCAACCGTCAGTCGACGTAATTTTTCGGGGTAAAATAAAACTGAGGCTACTACCAAAATGTCTGTCCTTCACCTCCGCTGGATTACCAAACACTTCTCCTAAAAACAGAATCTATTTTTTACATTTTGTCTTCATTATTTAGGCATCATGGCTGCTCTGATAGGGAATTTTATAAAAACAATCCCAAGTGTCTTTGTAATGACGCATACACGATGCTGAGGCATAAATTATTATAAGATTTATATTCATTTCCTGTCATGGAAGCAATGGACAAAAGGGCGGGAAACTCTAGCAGACGTGTAAAGATCGATACTGTAGCCGTGGTTATCAGGCAGGCCATTCTTGCAGCCGCCAACGATGTGGAATACTACAGTATCTAAATACCTAACATCGTAAAGCATCTCTTTTCAAGAATCGAAAAAAAAGCTGTAGAAATGGAAAGCACATTTTATCAGTTTGGTGATATTTTATTTGACCTCTAACATTACCAACAAGGACACAAGCGACAGTTCTTTGATTGTATGCCAACTCTTGGCTAATATTAATACACTAGCTAAGCTACTCAGCTTTATTCGGCTTATAACACGGTCGGCTAGTGTCGGAATCTAAACTTGTCAAACTTCAATGAATTGGTGCTGGGTTCAGATTTTGTACTCAGAAAATTTGAAGAATAAAAGATCCAGAGAACTCATTTCTGACAATTAATTTTGAGGTGCCAAAAACGTATCAAAATCGATATCTTTGTATTTTTTTTACTAAAGTAAAAAAGTAAAGTCTCTGCTGAACTGAAGAAGGTTTTGCTGGAGCTTGGTGGACCCCACTCTAACGACGGGGCTTAGAAGGCTTTCAAAACAGATTTTGAAAGTGTTAGTTTTAGTTCAAGGTGTTTTCTTTGGTTAGTTCTTTATTGAAATATGCCCCATTCCATAACAGCCCGTTTGAAGATTAATTAATTGTGGTCTGGAAAACAAGAGTTTAAATGTCCGGAAATTTTCGCAAATGTCCGGAACTAATCAGTGTCACGCCCACTTCATATATAACTTGACCTACTAACACAACTCAACTTACTTGAGCCGCCGGCTTTTAAAATGGAGAGAGTGACATTAAATGGAACTGATTTGAATGTGTCTAGAGTATGTTTAGGATGCTGGCAGTTCAACAATGATAAAACAACCATCAACTGGGAGAGTCAGTCAATGCAGGTTAGTATAGAGACATTTATTTGTCGACGTTGATGTTGAAGATTTGTAAACGTGACAGTCAATAATTATAGGGTGTCTATAATTAACAGCCTTGCCGATACTTTGAAATTGACCTCAGAATGTATAATTCTATGAATAATAATGTATTAACCAGGGGGGCAGGTAGAAAAATTTCTGACCAACTGACTTGACGTGGGCAAAAATGAGAAGTGTCTGTCAGATGCAAGGCCGTAGGTTTGGGTGCTGCCAGAGCCAGAGGCCCCCATTCCCACTCCCAGAGGCAAAAGCCATTCCAGATGGCCTGAGATGAATTTGAGCATTTAGAGGGCTTAATTTTTACTTCAAAATAAGACTTTTCACCTGCCTGAGAAGCAGCCCTGCGCCAGGAATGACAATTTTGAGTTGCCAAAAACGCATTAAAACCTATATATATATATATATTTTTCCATACAAAGACACTGTAAATTAATCAATCTCTGCTGAACTGAAGAAGGTTTTGCTGGGGCTTAATTCTAACTTGCTGGGGCCAAGCCCCAACGGACCCCACCCTAACGACTGGGCAGTTCTATCTATGCATTTTCACACATTGTAGTTATTTCAACAAAGTATAATATCATTCATGGGATAAACAAATATAGCATGAATATACCATTCTTGTTAAGGCTGATATTGACAGAGTGTAACTGATTATAGATTAGAAACAAGTTCAGTGTGTCTACGACCTGTTATCTAACTATGTTTTATCTATAAAATATGAAATGATAATCACCATACCAATGTCTCTAAACAATCTGGACATTTGAACCTGAATGATATTCATGATTTTTATACGCCCACATGAAATAGGGGCCGTATATTGCCGTCACCCATATCCGTCGGTCGGTCCGTCCGTCCGTCCACAATTGCTCGTAAATACTCTACAAGACACAATTCTTGACTGATTTCGATGAAACTTGGTATGGTTGTTTGTAATCACCTAAGGATGAACCCTATTGAAAATCAGACGAATTGAAAAATATTTACTATGAGTTATTGCCCTTGTTCTTGAAACGCTTGTAAACACTCTAGAAGGTGCAATTCATGACGGATTTTGATGAAACTTGGTGTGAGTGTTTGTAATCACCCAAGGATAAACTCTATCGAAAATGAGAAAAATTGAAAAATATTTAGTATGAGTTATTGCCCTTGTTCTTGAAAACGCGTTCAATTTTTAGTTTGTAAACACTCTAGAAGGCACAATTCTTGGTGGATTTTGACTGAAACTTGTCATGAGTGTTGGTTATCACCTATGGATAAACCGTATTGAAAAACAGAAAAATTGAAAAATATTTAGTATGAGTTATTGCCCTTGTTCTTGAAAACACGTTCAAATTTTAGCTTGTAAACACTCTAGAAGGGACAATTCTTGATGGATTTTAACGAAATTGGCTTGAGTGTTGGTTATCACTCAAGGATGAACTCTATTGAAAATCAGAAGAATCTAAAAATATTGAGTACGAGTTATTGCCCTTATTCTTGAAAACGCGTTCAATTTTTAGCTTGTAAACACTCTAGAAGGCACAATTCTTGACGGATTTTAACGAAAATTGGCTTGAGTGTTTGTTATCACCCAAGGGCAAAGCCTATTGAAAATCAGAAAAATTAAAAAATATTTAGTATGAGTTATTGCCCTTGATCTTAAAAACTCTAGAAGGCATGATTCTTGCCGATTTTTGACAAAACTTGGTTTTATTATTCATTACCACGCTGAAGATTGAATATTTGTCTTCTAAAGTTTTCAAAAGCTAAAAATTGAACACGTTTTCAAGAACTAGGGAAATAACTCATTCTCAATATTATTCAATATCGCCCTAAAGAGTTCAAAAGAAGTGTATGACTGAAGGTTGAATATTTCATACTGGTGATTGTTACTGTACTGCTAAATATTTATGTTCAAAATCAAAGCTGCCAGTGGGCGTATATTACCTTGCCTGGCAAGCTATCTTTTCTTATTTATACGCCCACATTATAATGTTGTCAGCCAACTATATTTTGCGAACAAGATTTTTTTTCTGATTTTAGTTAAACGTTCTATTTAGCAATATTTTCAAGTTATATTCGTCATATGACTCCAATAGGCCTACATTGTGTATAGTGGTTTTAACAGGTCACGGTTTTCAGAATACCTTGTACTTTCATATCCTGTAAAGAGTCAATGAAAATGATAATATTCTCTTATGAGAAGCATTTTGAGCTTTCAAATACATTGCCAACACAAATACAGATCTATTATAGCGCGCGATGAAGATTAAGAGCAAATACACCATGATACTGTTTAATATAATCCTTCCTATTAATGTGAATAATGATAGATACCAGTATATATGTTTATTTGACAGCAATCCAAGGCTATTGTTGATAGATGTTTTGAAGTAGGAATCAATTTTTTTGATACAGCACAGGTATGTATAGAATCTGTTAATTGCTCATTATATACAAAAATCAACTATCATACCAGTACTTTTCATTAGGTCCATAAGTCTAGACCTGATGAAGTCAGAAATCCTGAATGATTGTTGGAAAGTCACAAATCCTGGATAATAATAATAATAATAATATTTTTATTACAAAAAGGTAAAATATTAGGCTATAAATTACCAATGAGCTCAAGATAAGATCCTTAGTACCCACTAATAAAACTGTCATGTATGATTCTAATGTTTGGAGGTCACAAGAAGACAATAGCTTATAAATTTTGCCTTATTTCAGGGCTATGCTGGGTCTGAAGAAGTACTAGGGGAATGTTTACAGGGCCGAAGAAAGGATGCTATAGTTGCTACTAAATATGGGTTTGGTAAGGGTACGGAACCATATACTGCAGAAGATATAGATAAAACTGTTACCACCGCTTTAACCAAACTACAGACAGACTATATTGATCTCCTACAGGTGAGAGCATTACTTCAGAACATCAGCTGCATTGTCTGTCTTATTCTACTACAAATGTCAGAAAAACATCTGTTTTCTGTCTTGTTCAGTAGGTTCCTAGGCTTTAAGTGCAATAAGTGTTGTAAAATTAACTTCAAAGTTCAACAAACTGTCCTAAAATTGACTTTATATCTAAAATATATGAAAAGTTGAGATGAGAAAGCCTGTAACAGATGAAGAGATAGCTATGTAAGAGTATAACTCAATACAAAGTTGTTAAATGAACACTCCTGGTCTTCAGTCTGAAAATATAAAAAAACTTATTTTTCCTATCTGAGCAGCATTGTATATCTGGATTTGAGAACAAAATGTTGATTTTTCAGATCCATTTTCCATGTTTTATAAAAGATGCGGCAGAAACAATAACAGAGTTAAAAAGACAGGTATCACTTGGTAGAATAAGATATTATGGTGTATCAAACTTTGGCCCTAAAAATCTACACACATATTTAGATGCTGGGCTGGCCCCTGTTTCTAACCAGGTAAACCAACTTTAGATTTTTTGAGGAGACAATATCAATGGATATGATGTCAGTAGGCTAAGATTTGATATGAATATTGGCCTCCATGTCTGGCCTCTATTTTTGTTGTTAACTTGGAAATGTCTGATGAGGAGGGCTTTGATAAACCCAAAATATATAAACATTGGTCCCTTATACTGATATATAATTGAATACCTTGTGATATTATGTTTGTAGATGGGATACAATCTATTATGGAGATCAGTAGAGTTTGATGTCCAGCCAATCTGTAAGGATAAGGGTATTGGTATTCTAGCATATTCTCCGCTTCAACAAGGTTTACTGTCTGGTAGATATGAGAAGCTTGAAGACCTTCCAGAAGGCAGGAGACGAGGAAAACTATTTGCTTCGTAAGTTATAAAATTAATTCTCTGCTGAAGGCACATTACAAGTATAACCAAGTTTAAAAACTTTGGTGTTAGATTTGGGTTACTTGTGCTCAAAACCACCAGAAAAGGTGTCTGCACATTGGGGCAAATTAAGAGTCAGCTGAGACACCCATTGAAAAAAAAAAGGTTAAGAGGTGATTGACATGATGCCATTTGTTGGTCAAACTCTCCTGATTTTCTCCCACCAGTAGCATTTGTAGTAAAAAGTCTTCTTTGAATTTCAGACAAGGATTGGCTCGACATGGACAAGATGGCTGTGAGGCTGAAGTCTTTGAGGTAAGATCTAGGATTTACTCACAAATAAAAGTGAACAAGAGTAAGTGTGTTTGGATGACTTGGATTGGAATTTTGGTATGGCTTGCTGTTCTCAAATTGTAATGATTTCTAGTTAACACTCATATGACACAATATTTGGACCAATGAGGTCTTTGGGTCTGACCCTTGCTATTTTGAGAATGAAACATGAGACAACATGGCGACAAGTAATTTCCAATTAAAATCGATTTTATGTTTTAAAATAAAGTCAATTAAATTTATAAATTATATCCTTCTTATCTGAACTTGTGTGACAGATGCAATGGCGGCAAATGACTTATGGGGAGACAACAGTCGTTTAGTGTGAAATTCAAAATGTGGCATATCTGTGGAAGCGTATAGGCACAATTCTCCCATTGTGCTTCTAAGAGGGTTTTCTCCTAGAAATATTTTTGAAAAATAGAATTGATTTGAAAATATGGCATTGAATTTTCTCTTTTCACAGGCTGTAAGAAATATAAAATCTATCTGTAAACGAGAGAATTTAGATATGGCTAAAGCCTCATTAGCCTGGGTACTACAACAAGAGGCTGTACCGGTAGCTATTGTTGGTGCTAGAACTCCTGAACAAGTCACTGAAAACAGTCAAATTATCAAACTCACTCATGTAAGTATTCAATTTGGTTATTAAAACATTCATTATACACGTTCAAGTTTTCTCATTCATCTCTGTAGCACAATCAGAGCATTGGAAACTTTACATGATGGTGGTTTTGGGATCTTATCTCAGTCAGCTTGTGAAAGTATAGTGATGTGGAATAAGTCATCTTTCCTCAATATTCCCTTTTGACCTATCTGTAAATTGGTACAGGGATATATCAATGTCAAGAGGATCAGCTTGTAGACGGGATCATTGTTAACCTAAGTTTTCATAAAGAAACCTTTCAAAAGACTAAGTTTAACACTTTTTTTGCAGATGTTATTTCAACTAATATTGTGTGCATTTAAACTAAACTCAATTTAAAACCCAATTTTAGCAAGATACTTCAAGCTCCAGTTAGTCATGGCTGACAAATACCATCATATAATCATCATCTGACTGAGCTAGTTTTAGACAATTAAAATTTCTATATTTGTAGGCTGTGGTGAAAGAACTATCTGATGCAACAGAGAAAGTAAAACAAAAAGTTGGCCGATCTTTAGACCAGTGGGTTCATCCAGATAGATGTGAATAAAGAATTTATCTAGCAATTTTTATATGGATTTAAATTATTAAGAATCATTCTTTAATGGAGATGGTTGAGAGTTGACACTGGACCTAAGATTGGAAACACTATTTCTTCCTCTCCTCTCAATGAGAATTCAAACTTTTAACATGCAGTAGTTGATAATCTATTTGCAATGAAGACATTCATCAGATCAATTTGAAAAGATGAGAAATTTCATCTGAAAATCTGAATTGTAGTGGCTGTAACATAAACATATAAAAAAGTGCTCAATATTGAAATCCACTTTGTTAATTTCTAAGTATTAATACAAGCCAAATTTTCAAGCCTGCCAGGAAACTTTTCTCACCATTATACATATGACAAGTGCCTATTTACTTCTTTGTCTTGAAGATACATCTTTTTGATTAAAATGTTGATTTTTATGTTTCTAGATTTCTTTCCTTTTTTTGTTAATCACTTCTTCTACTCCTGTTCAGTCAGTTTTAAAGGGACAGATGCAGCATTTTGGGGGGGTTGATTTGAGTCTTGAATATATGTAAATTGTCTTCTGAAGTACTAGAAATGTACGAAAATCACATAATTCCTTTAAAAATACTTCTAACTAGGAATTTTACTCACTATTTCCTAATATGCCTTTTCTATATCACAGAGTATCTTAAAATGACATGAAATGGGGGGCGTATATTGCCGTCACCTCTTTCCGTTGGTCGGTCTACAAGACACAATTCTTGACTGATTTCGACGAAAAACTTGGTATGGTTGTTTGTAATCACCCAAGGATGAACCCTATTGAAAATCAGACAAATTGAAAAATATTTACTATGAGTTAATGCCCTTGTTCTTGAAAAGCTCGTAAACACTCTAGAAGGTGCAATTCATGACAGATTTTGATGAAACTTGGTATGAGTGTTCGTTATCGCCCAAGGATAAACCCTATCGAAAATCAGAAAAATTGAAAAATATTTAGTAAGAGTTATTGCCCTTGTTCTTGAAAACGCGTTCAATTTTAGCTTGTAAACACTCTAGAAGGCACAATTCTTGACGGATTTTAACGAAACTTGGTGTGAGTGTTTGTAATCACCCATGGATATACCCTATCGAAAATGAGAAAAATTGAAAAATATTTAGTATGAGTTATTGCCCTTGTTCTTGAAACCGCGTCCAATTTTTGGTTCGTAAAAACACTAGAAGGCACAATTCTTGACTGGTTTTGACGAAACTTGGCATGAGTGTTGGTTATCATCCATGAATAAACCGTATTGAAAAACAGAAAAATTGAAAAATATTAAGTATGAGTTATTGCCCTTGTTCTTGAAAACGCGTTCAAATTTTAGCTTGTAAACACTCTAGAAGGCACAATTCTTGACGGATTTTAACGAAATTTGGCTTGAGTGTTGGTTATCACCCAAGGATGAACCCTATTGAAAATCAGAAGAATCTAAAAATATTGAGTATGAGTTATTGCCCTTATTCTTGAAAACGCGTTCAATTTTTAGCTTGTAAACACTCACGAAGGCACAATTCTTGACAGATTTTAATGAAATTTGGCTTGAGTGTTTGTTATCACCCATGGATAAAGCCTATTGAAAATGAAAAAAATCGAAAAAATATTTAGTATGAGTTATTGCCCTTGATCTTGAAAACTCGTTCAATTTGTAGCTCATAAAAACTCTAGAAGACATGATTCTTGCCGAATTTTGACAAAACTTGGTTTTATTATTCATTACCACGCTGAAGATTGAATATTTTGGGGGGAGGGGGGACTTTGCCCACCCTAAATCAAATCTTTGCCTGGTTGATTATAAATACTAATAGACATGTATTATCCTAAATTGTATTCATATGAATCAAACAACCAAACGTAGGAAAAATGGATAAATATTTGATCAAAAAAGACAAATTGCTTGATGGTTCCGACACTACTACGACTGACACTGGTATCAAAACCACAGCGGACAACACAACGGATGCAGTACCAAGATGCTCTGAAAAGACAGGAGTACCAGGTGACATTGGAAAAGAAGATGTTCCAAAGCAACCGAGAATAAAATTTCCAGCGAAGTCTGGGCGCCATTTTAGTAACAGCTGGTATGATCGTTTTCCATGGCTGGAGTATTCAGTGTCAAGGGACGCCCCTTTTTGATTTCCATGTCGGGTGTTTCACAATACATCTGCGGGTGCATAAAAATTCATCACTGAAGGCTACACAGATTGGAAGCATGCTGTAGGTGATACTGGAAAGAAGCATAACAATTGAGGTGTCAAAACAATTTCTCCAAGATAACGTTGCCAAGACAGAAAAGCATGACTCCAATCTTGTTTTTCAAAAACTATACGAGCAGAAATTGGCTTTCCCTAAATTATATGCACTGGCTGCAAGCGTTGCCACATTCGGTTCTAGTACCGCTGTGTGTGAAAGCAGCTTTTCAACTCTTACTCACTCTTGACTCACCACAACGACGATCTATGACTCAGCTTCGCCAGCGCAATCTTGTTCTCCTTTCCTTCAACAGGAAGACCCAGAAAATTAACTTGGGCGTATTTGTTCAAAGTTTTGCCATAAAACATACCCGACTACGTTTAAACTAAAACGGCAATAAAAATGTAACGTATCATAACTTGTGTGTTTTAACAAAAATAATCTCGAATTTAAAATACTCCATGAAAGTCCGTTTCCCGACGTTTAATCGTCTGTCAAGGTGCTTTGCTAAATTGCCCCCCTCGATTGCACGTTTGCCCCCCCAGGAGTACTGGTCAGGCTACGGGCCTGAATGCATATACCGAATTTCATTTGATTCCTTCAAACACTCTAGTGTTTAGAGTGTTTACGAGCAATTGATGTTGATAGAAGCACTTACTGTATAGAGATTAAAGGGTGATAACTCCTCAAAACTGACGTAAGAGGCCTAAATCTTGAAAAAGCCTTAAATTTAATCAGAAGTAAACTAAACTTTCTCAAACTTTTCGCTTTAGGTCAAATAGCATCCATTTTAAGTTTCATCAAAATCGGTTGAAAACTAAGAGAGTAATAGCATATTTAGGCTAGGGCAATAACTCTGCTTCTAACGGTCGAAAATAGCTCAAATTCGAAATTGACGTTCGTTTTATGAACATGTATACACATACCGAATTTGATTCCATTAAAAAATCTAGTTTTTAGAGCGTTTACAAGCAAATGTTGACGGACAGCTGGGGGTGCCGACAATATACGTCCACAAAAAAAGATGTGTCTTGTCAAATATAATGCACATAAGAATTCAACTTTGCCCATCAATCATTAAAGGGACAGATGTGCCATTTTGGGTTGATTTTTGTCTTGAATACAAGTTTTCATAAATAGTCTCCAGAAGTACTAGAAATCGAAAAGATAGCTGGCCAGGCAAGGTAATATACGCCCACTGGCAGCTTTGATTTTAAAGCATTTTAAACATTTGGCAGTACAGTAACAATCACCAGTATGATATATTCAACCTTCAGACATACACTTCTTTTGAACTTTTTGAGGCGATACTGAACAATATTACCAAGTGCCTACTGGAGTGTTTACGGGCTAAAAATTTAACGTGTTTTCAAGAACAAGGGCAATAACTCATACTAAATATTTTTCAATTTTTTCTGATTTTTAATAGGATTTATTCTTGGGTGATAACAAACACTCATGCCAAGTTTCGTCAAAATCCGTCAAGAATTGTGCCTTCTATAGTGTTGAAAGCATTTTCAAGAACAAGGGCAATAACTCTTTTTTTTAACTATTTTTTGATTCTTCTGATTTTCAATAGTGGGTGATTATAAACACTCACACCAGGTATTGTCAAAATCCATCAAGAATTGTGCCTTCTAGAGTGTTTACGAGCTAAAAATTGAACGTGTTTCCAAGAACAAGGGCAATAACTCATACTAAACATTTTTCGATTCTGATTTTCACTAGGGTTCATCCTTGGGTGATTACGAACACTCACACCAAGTTTTGTCAAAATCCGTCCAGAATTGCGTCTTGTAGAGTGTTAACGAGCAATTTTGGACGGACATGGGTGACGGCAATATTCGCCCACCATTTCATGTGGGCGTATAAAAAATGGCAAAATTACTTTAAAATTCTCAAACTAGAAATTTTACTTACTATTTCTATACATGTCTTTTCTATATATCACATCTTATCTTGACAAGTCCTCATTTTAACATTTAAACACAGATAATTCTGCACACATGGATTTGAAGAGTCAAATTTCGACGGTGAGCTATGGACACTATTAGCACAACTAAAAAATTCCAGTTTCTGAGACTAAAGTATGATTGGTAAAAAAAAATGGCCCTTTAAATTGGAAGTCAGGTTTTCAGCATTTATTGGGTCATAAAGAAGAACAATTATCATGTAATTTAAATTGTTTTATTAATCAAAATGATAATGAATTATATCTGTTTATCACACAACATTAACACTGAGGGAGGGGTGTAGCCTAGAGTGATTATTGTTCTACTATAAAATACTATCTATATACATACTATACCATTTCACACAATTATACCTCTAAAATAAAACTCAAATTTTATCTTATCTGTAAAACTTTTCATACTGATTGGTCAATATAGGAAACATACAAACTAGATTAACATTGGTTCTGAACAAAATGGACAATAAAGTCTTCTCAGCAGAGTACAGTACAGTGCCTGGGTTCAAGGGGTGAATATGTTTATGTTAAATCCAACCTCAAACATGGATGTATGCTTTTGATTGTGTTTTTCAGATTTCATGTTCATGCAGTACACAAAATTACTTTTATTCATCATACATTGAATGATTTAAATGCCAGGGCCTTTTTCTCAAAAATCCTACAATAAAATTTTTATAGTAAATTTTGGTCACTCAACAATAATATAATTATAAGATTTCTTGAGAAAAGGTCAATGGGTCTGGAACTACTACACTTTTGATCTATAACTAACAATCTTGTCTATAACAAACATCATCTTAACAAACTAGGAAATATTTCTTACAAGCTCCATTAATTAATAAGTCAAATGATTTTCACAGGAATTGTACAGTACTTATACATTATTTTCACACTTACTCAAACAATTGGACAATTATAAAGGTTTCTTCAAATATATTTCTAAATAATTCATTCAAAATGTCCTCAATATAAATAACAGTTAATGCTACAATATCATAGACAAAGTTTTTAAAAATTCATTCATGAACAAACTACTATGTCATTGAAATGCAAGATATGTCAACTTTAAACCATACAAGACTCATTCTGTAGTACTATACAATTATAAATCCCTGATGATACATTTGAGGTTCTTTGCCATTTTCATCAATATCACCACATTGACAAATATGGATACAACAGAGATAGATGTTAGATGGATTTTGATTCACGGGAAACTGAAAGCTGGATTTGTTCACATTCAAACAATGTTATCTTCCTTCATTAATAATAGCACTCTGTTCACAATCTCACTGTATCGATTGATGGAAAATAAAATATTAAGCTATTTATACTGCTGTCAATTGTGTGCAAAATTACTTAGCGACGAGATTTCTTTGTTTCTCAACTCAACAGTACTAAAAATTCACTCTGGGATTTTTTCCCATTGATACAAAAAGAAAACCACAATTCAATTTACAGATGTCTGTTTACTTTACAGTGATTATTTGTTAAATATAATTTATTTAATTCATATAATTATTTTTCAGTCTTATTGCAGAATGTAATTGTTCCAGTTGACAGCAGTAAGAATAGAGCTTTTAGTCTTTCATAATGTCAGTTCACACTAGAGTCTAGAAGCCCATGCCTCCCATACCACCCATACCACCCATTCCCCCCATACCACCGGGGGGTCCCTCGGGCTCTGGTTTAGGAATTTCTACCACTACAGTTTCTGCTGTTGTTAATAGAGAGGCCACACCAGCAGCATCCACTAAAGCTGTTCGAACAACCTGAAAGTATATTATTTTTGAATTGTTCATCTGAGTTTCACTTGTTTCTAAGTTTATGACTAAGTCAATTTTTCAGCACATTTTTGAAATGAAAGTTACAAAATGATTTACATACTGCTGATTTGAGTTTGCACTTGCTAAGCTAATGAAGTAGACCAATCCTAAATATGAAAAGATCACATCACAGACCCAAAGCCCTGTGGAAATCACATTTAACTAAGAGATATCGGAAATTTGAACATCTTGATTGTTTAAGCCTCAAAATCAAGTGTGTTAAAACCAGATTTTTAGTTGTGTAAGTTTGTGTCTCCAGTCTTTATTAAGTTTGACCTCACTGTGCCTAGTCAACAATACCCTTTAGCTGAACTTTAACTACAAAAGATGCAATATCTTTTACATTAAATTTTAATAACTTGCTCTGTTAATAATACCCTTCGAAATGAAATTAAAGATATATGAATAAATACAAACCTTTGTTGGATCAATAATACCCCTAGAAATTAAATTATCATACTCTCCTTTCATTGCATCATACCCAAAATCAGCTTGACCATTGGCAACTTTTTCTACTACAGCATGGGGATCAACTCCTGAATTTTTAGCAATTGTTAAACAGGGAACACGTAGAGCTTTTAATACAATGTTAATACCTGCAATATAGAGATAAGTTGATGGAGAACATTTGTTCAAAGGGTTTCTGAGTACATGTATCTGCTTCCAAGCTGACAATTCCTGATATCTGTAGTACCTTTCAGAATTGAAATACCATGTTTTTTTGTAGATAATTGTATATCAGCTGAAGTATTGTCAGTATCCAAGCAGTACTGAACAGTCTCAATATCAATTTCAAAGTTTCATAGGATCCAGATACATCAGGCACTCTATTCACTATGATCATTAAAGGGAAACTCAGAGCTGACATGCTTAGATGCAAAGTGGCACGTTGATAGCCAAGCAATCTAAATTAATTGTTGAATTTGTTCTCTCCTTGAGTTTTCTTTAAATAGTTAGCTACAAAGGGTATCTGCACACACATACAACTTAGTTGTGAACATATTTATAAGAACAAAGTAATGAAAGACACAAACCTCTTTGAATATCATCATTGTCAGCTTTCAATTCATTTAAAGCTTGAGTACATCTCAATAAAGCTGTTCCACCACCAGGAACAATACCTTCTTCTACAGCAGCTCTAGTGGCGTTCAGGGCATCATTTATTCTATCTTTCTTTTCATTGACTTCTACTTCACTTGTTCCTCCAACCTAATATTGACGAACAGAAAGACTATTAATCTACTTGTTAACATGAGATCTGTTTAAATTGCAGATCCAGATTGTTTTATATTTATCTGTAGCTGCACTTCTATGAACTAAAGAAAATCTTATCTATAATTATTTATGGTTGAATTTGAGTCAATGGCGCACTAATTAATGCTAACTTGTCAATGAATATTCCAGAATTTCTAACCTGTAGCTAACAACACTTTTTTTGTTGAATATTTCATTGACCGACAACGTCCGTCATATAACAATTTCTAAAGATTATTGGTAGTAAGTGCAATCAATCACAGAAAATATATAAAACAATACATCCAGCACTGCATTTCAATAATTTTGTTTATAAAAGATAAGATTGTATCAGGCTGAATGACAGTTATATTATAGAAATGATAACTGAACGATGACACTGATAATAATATAGCATCTTTATCTTAATATCTTATACAACATACAAGATATATTATACTTTATGAGATGCATTTAATTCAATCTACAACCAAACTGAAATTTTAGGGCATTTTCTATTAAAACCAGGTTTTTGTGAATATTTCTCATGAAAAATACCTTGATTCATACAATGAGAACATCAAAATGAATGTCTTAAGATGGAAGATGTATCACTGAATGTCCATAATCAGCTCTGGTCAGTTCAAACACTTTTAAAGAGGCTTGTCTTCTGACTTCTGTCAAAAATTGTGGTGTGAAAAATAGTTCTGACTTACTTTGAGTACAGCCACACCATTTGATAGCTTGGCTAATCTTTCATTAAGTTTTTCTTTTTCATATTCCGATGTAGACATTTCTATCTCATCTCTGATCTGAGTCATTCTCTTTTCTATCTCATCTTTTTCACCTTTACCCTATAAAATCATTGTTACTGTTGAAATAGACCTATGATTTGCAGTAGAGTTTTTCAATTCAGGGAAGAATAAGGCATAGGATATTCCACCTTATCTATCAATATTTAAATCTTTTATTGTGCAATGATTTATGACAGTGTCAAGTTTTATCTTCATATTGTATAACTATAATGATACATCATAATCTAGTATTGTCTCAATCCTACAATAGTTCAGTGAAAATTTACCTTCATAATAAGAGTATCATCCTTAGAGATAATAATTTCACCAACATTTCCAAAATCTTGCATCTGGACATCTTCTACTTTATACATACTGGCTTCATCACCAAATACCTACAATAATATATCATATTGTTAAAGATTGGGTTTCTTTATTTTTAGTGTCAAATTAAGCAAACTATTTGATTAATTGGTGTCTCTAATGAATTGTCATGTATTCTTTATCATATCATTATGTTCTTATTGCATATGATTAAGAGTTTTTAATCAATCATAAATGCCCATGTATGTACAGCCTGGATATACTAAAAAAAGACTTTTTGACCTTTCTTGATCGGTCACTTATTAAGCTAATGATGGATTAATTATGGATATGTGAGTATTAGCATTTTCATTTTGATAAATGAAAATCAGGGAACCCATCTTTAATACCAGATCAATAAACTAAATGATATATTTTTCATTGGCAATAATTCAATGTTATTTTAACATGTTGCATGACTTAACCTCATATTACAACTGCATGAATGTTCAAGTACCTGACACAACCAGTCAAATTTCCAGAGAATACAGCTGGTCGATTTGAAACATGAGAAAATATGGACAAAGCACAAAAATAAGACCAAGCTTTACATCTTATTTTGCAGAAGCATGTTTACGATGTTCACTGACATAATATTATAGAAATTTACCTGTCCTCCTGAAGCAATAGCCATATCTAATAAAGTATTTTTTCTGTTATCACCAAAGCCTGGAGCCTTCACAGCACAAACTTGTAAACCAACTTTTAATCTGAAAATATCAGAGGTAAAATCAAGATTATTTCAAATTAGAAAGATAATTTGCCAGGCAAGGTAATATATGCCCACTGGCAGCTTTGATTTTGAATAAAAATATTTAGCAGTACAGTAACAATCACCAGTATGAAATATTCAACCTTCAGTCATACACTTCTTTTGAACTCTTTAGAGCGATACTGAATATTGCCCTTGTTTTTTAAATGTGTTCAATTTTGCCGATACAATATTTAATCCATCCATTGACAAACAAAATCAAAATCAAAAGAACCTGTATTGTCGTCTGTGGATTGAACACGAGTTGCACAATATAGCTAATAGAGTGAAACGTCAAGTCAGACACGATATTTCGGTGAAAAATTATCCGATCATCACGAAAATCAATAGGGATCATCTTCATAATGACATTGACACACAAAATCAAAAGAATCTGTAAAGAATTGTAACCTGTAGAGTGAGCACGAACCAAATGTGAACGGACGGACGGACCGACAGGGTGATTAGAATATACGCCAATCTTATGTGAGGGCGTATAAAAACAAATCAATTTAGTTACTAATACAGGGTTCATACAGCACTTTGCCTCAAAAATTCAAGACTTTTCAAGGACTCTGGGCTTTTTTTTAATTCAAGGATTTTTCAAGGATATTAGTCTGACAGAATACACATGTACCTAGCTTCTGAACTGTGAAATCAATAAAGATAGTTAATATTTGTCAATGGGGTTATCTGTTCTTTGCCTGAAGATGTGTGTGTATTTACAAATCATCAGGAAGTTTGGTTCTCTTGTCTCATAACGTGTGTATCTGTAGGCTAGTAGTTACTGGTGGTGCTTACAAGAACAAGTTTGGAACACTAAAAAACATCTGAAATGGCTTTCCTGGACTTGCTGTTGTGACCTATCTTTTTTCACTTTGACCAGTATAAAAGCATATAGTATTCTGTTAATCACTGATGTGTTATACTTTCATTTGGATGCAGGCAATGATACAGATTCAATGTTTGACAAGGAACTGTTATGAATGAATAACCATTAAAAGTTTTACTATTTTTTCTTTCAAGGAAATACACACATAGAAATACAACATACATTAATTTTTCAACTGTGCTAAATTTTCATCCAATTTCTCATCTACTTCCTGTATCATGATATTCTTATCAGAGATAGACCTTCTGAAGGCATTTGATTTGACAAGAAAAGACATGTTACCAGTATTTTTATCTTTAAAACAATCATCTGCAGACTTTGTCAATGTCTTTACATCAGTTTCTAATCTAATTTTCTTAGCCTTTATATCAGCAATTTCATCACAGATACTCTTATGTTTGACAACTGTTTCAACCTTTTGTCTCTTTTCCCTCTCCCCCTCCAAATATAACTCATACTTGTGCCTAGCAGATGAACCACTGATTAGTAAAGCATTAGTATTAGGAACATTTAAAACACCCCCAACACTGACAACATAATCACAAACAATGATAGAATGCAATGATAGAATTTTCCTTTAAGTTTTCTACTTCAATTTCTTTATTAACCGAGAACCCCCTCTCTACAGAGGCCTGTCCATGTGAAAGAACAAAAAACAATTTCAGCACCTTCCACAAATTACTAAATATGTCACTGCCATGGCACAATGTGAAAAAAAATGAGTCAATTCTATCTTTGATACAATCAAATTCTTGAAACTTGTGAAGTCCAAATTCAGGTATGCTGTCCAAGAATTCAGAATACTGTATTATAATGGGGTCACATTCACTCTCTTTCAGTTTTTTTTAGGCTGTGAAGTTGGCCTATCAATTTCTTAAATTTCACCTAACAGTGTTGCTTATTGCTTGCCATAATTTGTGGATTAAATGCACATATGTTCTGCACTAATGCATATTTCAAGGGACATTTTTCCATCATTTTCTTCAGAACACCTATCAAAAAGTCCCTACATTGCATACAAATTTCTAAACGATCTCTTTCAGATGATTGGACTTCTTTTAAAGCCTTTGCACAAGAAAAACCTACATCAATTTTCTTATAATTAACATGATTGTCAGTATTAGAAATGTCAATGTCTAATAATTTATCAGCAGTATGAGCACTTTCTAACAAAGCAGGTTTTACAAATCTCTTCAATAATGATTTCATCAGCTTAACAAGATCTTCAGAAAGAAAGGGAATAAGTGGTTTATCCGACTGATACAAAGTCAAAAAACCTTGCAATTGCAGAGCCACACACGGGAAAAAAGATAATTTGCATATTATCAATTTGTCTTTCACTGCTTTGGATGCTATTTGGTAAGATTTATTATCAGGTTTTGTAATGGTTTTTTATTCAATGGTTTTGACAAATTTGTCTACATCTGACCATATTGATATTGCTCTTTCCACAACTGGAACATTTTCCAGCTATCTGTGTTGTACAAATTTAAGTGGGAGACTACCATTATCTGAGACTTTCAAATAGTCCTCTCTTCTTGCAGGACAATCTTTGAAGAGATGGTAAAGACTTGAGAGTAAAGAACAAATATCCCAAGTAGAGTCTGTACTGCCAGCTTTAAAGATGTTGTGGATGATATGCAAACCACATGATCCAATATTTATGATGGAGGAGTCATAATCTTCTGAAAGCTTCCTCTTCATTAAATCAATAAACTTCCAGTTTACATTGGGACCATCCATACTGATCTGCACCATGTCCTTGACATTGATACCAGTTTGATTTAACACAGCATCAGTGAAGTGTTCAACCATATCCTCAGCTTTTGCTTTGCCCAGAAATTGCGAGCCAAGATATCTTGTCAGTACTATGTTGTCCTTTGACCAAAAACGAACATGAAGATCCATTTGTTTTTTCTGGTTCTTAAAACAAAATATCCATTTATCTCTTCTAACAACAGTTTTTTTAAATGTTCAGCTAGTCCAAAAATATTGACATAAGCAGATTTTCGCTCACCACAAGAAAATCTTTTAACAATTTCACTGTCAGGAAACATTGCTTTGAAAATACTTGATATCTCATCATTGAACTTCAATGAGGAATTGGTAGTAGTAGTTCTTAAAACCCGTAAAATTTCTGCTTTCATGGCAGCATTACCAGCAGACAAGTAACTTGTCACATCGCTACTTGACCTACTTTGAAGAGTATTCATCGGTGGTAAACTAGGTTTTGATCGGTAGGGATTGTCACCGCCACCAACATTTGAAGACACTGCCATTATCTGTCCTTCCATTGACTTCATCAAACTGATGTGTTTTTCACTACTCATGTCAGATTTCAGAGCTGCTTGTCTCATTTTTGCCAGGTTTATAGTGTTGTTACAAACTGAACAGCGAGCATAGTTTCGGTTATCTTTAACCTCCTTGACCCATTTACTAAATTCACTCATTTGTAACCACGATCGGTAAAGCCCAATGCAGGCGAGGAACATTTTAAGCGAACAATCGTAAAAATTTTGTTTCAATCATTTTTCTCACCGTCTGCGGATTACAGAAACACGAACAAAAATGTTCGTGAGAATTGTTCGTGAAATGTTTGATTTTTTAAAATTGTTCGCCTCCCAAACAATTCTTTGTTCGCTGTCTGCGTTAACGACAAACATTAGCGCCAAACATTCATCGACGAAAGACCAATCAGCGATCGAAGCCAGACCACATGACACTCAAAATGTCGACGTCCAGTGAATCCACCACCCCAAATTTTGGGCTGTGGAGAAGGAGCAGATTTTAGTAGATATCTGGTCGCAATCTGCCTCAATATTATGTTGAACCCATCTTTGTCAACCCGGGAATATCGCCGATACATTGCTGGGTCGTCAGCCGACAGCTCCTGTACAAGGTTGCCGAACACACCCTGCTCTTTATGACGTTGAATCCAGGTACGGACCCAAATGCTCCTATTTCGCCGTCTACTTTGGCGTCTTTTTAAAATTAACGAAAGAGCTAAAGCAATTTTGCATTTTCTTTTGGACGTCGTCATTTTGAGGTCATGTGATTTTCTGTGGCACTGGCGTATTGTTCGAGCTAAATGTTCGTCGTCTGCGGATAACGGAAAACAAAATATATTTGTTCGATGTTTTTGTTCGTCAACAGAAATGTTCCTCGTCTGCATTGGGATTTAAAAGTACATCTTCCGGACATAGCGATAAACTTAGATTAGAACAATGGCGGCGATCAAAATGTACATGTTACCAAGGAGATCATTTCCCAGTGGGCCCAGCTCTGAAATATTACTTTTTTTTAACAGGTCATTCTGCCAAATAAGCGAAAAAAATCACTAAAATTCTCATATCATTGGGAATTGATCAAATACAGTGAAAAAATAAAAGCATGTTATTAATTTAAGTTGACAGATCTCGCAAGACGTGACCTTACAAGTTATATATAGTAACATAATAATCACTCGATCAACATGGTGTGTGGAGAAAGTAGTATAATAAATGACAACCGAGACTACATGACCCATGGCTGTTGCTTTATACCCCCTACTATATAATCTATATTGAATACTTCCAAGTCAATGTTTATTATTTTCAGTTAAGGCTGTTCTGTTGATAAATCTTACTCAGACAAAAATGTCCGCTTATTAGATAGTTAAAAAAATACACACTCAACTCAAAATTCAAGGACTTTTCAAGAGAAAATGCGTTTTTTATGGTGTTTTCAAAGACTTTTTTTGAAATCAAGGTTTTTCAAGGCAAGGGACGGAATACCAGGGTTTTTCAAGGATCTGCGAACCCTGAATTACTTTTAATATTGGATTTTAGAAGCCAACAGAAACAATAGACTCACCTATTTAATACTAAAGTGGAAAGAGCTTCACTGTCCACATCCTCTGCTATAATAACTAATGGTTTCCTGGCTTGATTAGCCAGTTCTAAAGCTGGTACAATAGACTGAACACTGGATATCTTCTTCTCACTAAATAATACTAGAGCATCTTGATATTCACATTTAGCTCCTATAATTAAACGTTATGATAATATGTCTGATATCTGAAGAAGCAAGAAATCCTGATGAATTTATGGCAGGCTAAAGTTTATAAAACAATAAGATTGTATCAGGCTGAATGACAGTTATATTATAGAAATGATAACTGAACGATGACACTGATAATAATATAGCATCTTTATCTTAATATCTTATACAACATACAAGATATATTATACTTTATGAGATGCAAATTTCTTAAAAACTTCAAAACTGTCAAGATGCTGATCATTTTTGTCTCTTTACATGGCCTCCTTAGTGGTCTTATCTTGACCACAAAATATTAAGACCATTCAAGCTAGAAAAAGATGAAGTTTGTATTTAATGTGGCAATGTTATGGATATAAAAGTAAAATTCAATGGACTTTCACTGCATAAAAATTCATTTTATAACTATAAACTAACCAAATTCTAAGAGAATTTCAACAAACCTTTTGCTTTGTTCATAAAATAAGGAGAAATATAACCTCTATCAAATTTCAACCCTTCAATAGTTTCTAGTTCATCTTTTAATGTTTTACCATCCTAGAAAATAAACCAAGATAATCATTATACTGGTATAGTTATATAATTTTAGTAAAATAAACCAAGATAATCATTATACTGGTATAGTTATATAATTTTAGTAAAATAAACCAAGATAATCATTATACTGGTATAGTTATATAATTTTATCAAATTAAACCAAGATAATCATTATACTGGTATAGTTATATAATTTTAGTAAAATAAACCAAGATAATCATATACTGGTATAGTTATATAATTTTAGTAAAATAAACCAAGATAATCATTATACTGGTATAATTATATAATTTTAGTAAAATAAACCAAGATAATCATTATACTGGTATAATTATATAATTTTAGTAAAATAAACCAAGATAATCATTATACTGGTCTAGTTATATAATTTTAGTAAAATAAACCAAGATAATCATATACTGGTATAGTTATATAATTTTAGTAAAATAAACCAAGATAATCATATACTGGTATAGTTATATAATTTTATCAAATTAAACCAAGATAATCATTATACTGGTATAGTTATATCATTTAATCAAATTAAACCAAGATAATCATTATACTGGTATAGTTATATAATTTTAGTAAAATAAACCAAGATAATCATATACTGGTATAGTTATATAATTTTAGTAAAATAAACCAAGATAATCATTATACTGGTATAATTATATAATTTTAGTAAAATAAACCAAATTAATCATTATCCTGGTATAATTATATAATTTTAGTAAAATAAACCAAGATAATCATTATACTGGTCTAGTTATATAATTTTAGTAAAATAAACCAAGATAATCATTATACTGGTCTAGTTATATAATTTTAGTAAAATAAACCAAGATAATCATTATACTGGTATAGTTATATAATTTTATCAAATTAAACCAAGATAATCATTATACTGGTATAGTTATATAATTTTAGTAATATAAACCAAGATAATCATTATACTGGTATAATTATATAATTTTATCAAATTAAACCAAGATAATCATTATACTGGTATAGTTATATAATTTTAGTAAAATAAACCAAGATAATCATATACTGGTATAGTTATATAATTTTAGTAAAATAAACCAAGATAATCATTATACTGGTATAGTTATATAATTTTATCAAATTAAACCAAGATAATCATTATACTGGTATAGTTATATAATTTTATCAAATTAAACCAAGATAATCATTATACTGGTATAGTTATATAACTTTATCAAATTAAACCAAGATAATCATATACTGGTATAGTTATATAATTTTAGTAAAATAAACCAAGATAATCATTATACTGGTATAGTTATATAATTTTAGTAAAATAAACCAAGATAATCATTATACTGTTATAGTTATATAATTTTAGTAAAATAAACCAAGATAATCATTATACTGGTATAGTTATATAATTTTATCAAATTAAACCAAGATAATCATATACTGGTATAGTTATATAACTTTATCAAATTAAACCAAGATAATCATATACTGGTATAGTTATATAATTTTATCAAATTAAACCAAGATAATCATTATACTGGTATAGTTATATAATTTTATCAAATTAAACCAAGATAATCATATACTGGTATAGTTATATAATTTTAGTAATATAAACCAAGATAATCATTATACTGGTATAGTTATATAATTTTAGTAAAATAAACCAAGATAATCATTATACTGGTATAGTTATATAATTTTATCAAATTAAACCAAGATAATCATTATACTGGTATAGTTATATAATTTTATCAAATTAAACCAAGATAATCATTATACTGGTATAGTTATATAATTTTAGTAAAATAAACCAAGATAATCATTATACTGATATAGTTATATAATTTTAGTAAAATAAACCAAGATAATCATATACTGATATAGTTATATAATTTTAGTAAAATAAACCAAGATAATCATATACTGGTATAGTTATATAATTTTATCAAATTAAACCAAGATAATCATATACTGGTATAGTTATATAACTTTATCAAATTAAACCAAGATAATCATATACTGGTATAGTTATATAATTTTAGTAATATAAACCAAGATAATCATTATACTGGTATAATTATATAATTTTAGTAAAATAAACCAAGATAATCATTATACTGGTATAATTATATAATTTTATCAACTTAAACCAAGATAATCATTATACTGGTATAGTTATATAATTTTATCAAATTAAACCAAGATAATCATTATACTGGTATAGTTATATAATTTTATCAAATTAAACCAAGATAATCATTATACTGGCATAGTTATATAATTTTATCAAATTAAAACAAGATAATCATTATACTGGTATAGTTATATAATTTTAGTAACATAAACCAAGATAATCATTATACTGGTATAGTTATATAATTTTATCAAATTAAACCAAGATAATCATTATACTGGTATAGTTATATAATTTTAGTAAAATAAACCAAGATAATCATTATACTGGTATAGTTAAATAATCATTATACTGGTATAGTTATATAATTTTAGTAAAATAAACCAAGATAATCATTATACTGGTATAGTTATATAATTTTATCAAATTAAACCAAGATAATCATTATACTGGTATAGTTATATAATTTTATCAAATTAAACCAAGATAATCATTATACTGGTATAGTTATATAATTTTAGTAAAATAAACCAAGATAATCATATACTGGTATAGTTATATAATTTTATCAAATTAAACCAAGATAATCATTATACTGGTATAGTTATATAATTTTAGTAAAATAAACCAAGATAATCATTATACTGGTATAGTTATATAATTTTATCAAATTAAACCAAGATAATCATTATACTGGTATAGTTATATAATTTTATCAAATTAAACCAAGATAATCATTATACTGGTATGGTTATATAATTTTAGTAAAATAAACCAAGATAATCATTATACTGGTATAGTTATATAATTTTAGTAAAATAAACCAAAATAATCATTATCCTGGTATAATTATATAATTTTAGTAAAATAAACCAAGATAATCATATACTGGTATAGTTATATAATTTTCGTTTCATTTCATATATAAAATCTATCGAGGATATTATACAAGGCATAAAATTATTTTTATGCTTGATTAAAATTTCTATATGTCATTTGAAATGTTGCTAAAATTAAGGTAAGTAGCAGTATATCCATGATAAGGTTATTACTTATCTACCTACTTAAACTGCCTGTAAATATTTCACAATGTGCACAAATATCAGACAAATACAGAAATCAGATATACAATTACCTTAACAGTAATGACACCATCACGTCCAACTCTCTTCATAGCACTGGAGATCAATTCACCTACTTCACTGTCACCATTAGCTGATATAGTAGCTACCTGCAATACACACATTATATACACACTTACATATTCAGTTGTAGAATAAGACATTGCTCAAAGATAAACATTCATTGAGCTATTTCAATATATGATTTATATGAAATACCTGTCTACAATTTTTGAATTTTTTTCAGTGGAATACTTCTAATTACCTGAGCTATTTCTTCTGGAGTTGTGACATTTTTAGACATTTTCTTCAATTCATCCACACATTTATCAACAGCTATCATAACACCTGGAAAACAGAAATAATAATATAAATTATAGCTAAATAATATCATATTGGTATAAAATACCTAACTTAATTTGGCTATTCATTCATTATTCACTGAGACAATGAAACAGGACTGGTCTTTTCTTCTGCAAAAGGACGAATGAGGACAGGCAAAAACATTCAGGGTGTAATGAGACTGCAACATTTGACTTAGACAAGGGAACAATAAGCACAGCCAGTATACCACTGGGATTGACTAGACAGCTTTCTCAGATCAGTTGCTCTGACTGTATCAGAGGAAACGGTCATACGAAAAATTCAGACTTGACTATTCAATGAGGACATATATTACAATTACATACCTCTCCTTATTTCAATTGGGTTAGCTCCCTTGATGATGGAATCGAAGCCTTCCTTAGCAATAGAACGAGCTAGAACAGTAGCAGATGTAGTTCCATCTCCAGCTTCTTCGTTTGTGTTATTAGCTACATCTTGGACCAATTTCGCTCCAATATTTTGAAATTTATCCTTTAATTCTATGGATTTAGCTACTGTTACACCATCCTTTGTGATTTTTGGACTTCCCCAGCTCTGTTCTATTATAACATTTCTACCCTGAAGAAAATTATTTCATGTATGGTCAACGGACATTTCCTGTGGAATTTGACCCCAAATTTTGATTGCAAGGATGGGTATATCACAACAAACTGAACACCGCCAAGAGATTTGTGCACTCTTCTGGTGGTTGAGTGGTTCTTCAAAAACCTAAGTAATTATCGCTGTAAAAATTGGTTTCTTCCTTTAATGCATAATTCTGTAAATACTTTACCTTTGGTCCCATGGTAACAGCCACAGCATCAGCCAAGGTATCAACACCATGTAACATCTGAGATCGTGCATCAGCTCCAAACTTCAAATCTTTTGCAGAATAACATCTGACATAACATGGTGTCATCTGACGAGCAAGGGTGGAACGTACAACACTTGGTAATCGGAACATCTTGAATTTGTTACCTGCAACAAGAGGAAATCTTAAAGAATGGCAAGTGCGCTTAGCTTAGACAGGAGTCTTCTGGAGGACTAGTAGACCTAGACTACAGCTTTAAAATTTAATTATCAAAACCATTCACAGAATGATAAAGTTAGTCTTCATATTACAATATGACCAGTCTAAATGTGAACTCCTTGATCTTGAAATTAGAACGCATGATCATGTTCTAATATCGGCTTACAGTGGTTTTCCCCCTTAACAAGTTCCTCCCATAGTGGTTTCCCCTCTTTACAATTTCCACCTTAGTGGTTTCCTCCCCTATATATATATGTAAGCTTAGGGTATGTAAAGAAGGAGAATTTGATTTAATAACATTTTAGATATAGAAATCTGTAGTTATATTTTCCCTAATTCAAATTAATTTTTCTATATTTTTTAATAATTATATGTGTGGTATACACACGATTGCCTTAAACAAATAAAGAGTTAATTTTTTTAGGCAATCTTTATTGGTTTGGTCTTATGTTCAATTTCAACTGGATTATTAAATGTAAATGTATATCAAATAACGCTGCTTTCATTTCTCTTCTTTTCATAAACAAATTCTGTGTACATCTACAATCGAGACAGACTCATATAAGCTTCAAGCTTGTCTCTGTTTCGCACCATTAATTCAGTTAATTGTGGGACTTTGCTTTCAGCAAAGTCCTAGTTTGTTATCGAAATGTCCATTCTTTTTTTTTTTTTTTCGATTTTTACACACCTTCCTGAGCTTAGACTGCAGTAGTTGCAGCAATCATTCAACTTTCCTGAACCTTAGATAATGGCAACGTTGTGCATAAATATAAATTGAAACATTTTTGCAAAACCGGAAGTGCCACAGTTCAATATGTGCAACAATAGATAATCGGCTCTAGAAGTCGTATTTTTCGGTCGAATTTCTTTGGGTTTGCATTTTTGGAATCTACTGTTAAAATCTGAAAGAATAGCAGTTTCAAAATTTCAAAATTCCAAAATTTTTCGCAGACATTTTTTGGCCGATTTTCGAAATTTTTGGACCATTTTTCAGTTTTTTTCGGATTAATCTGAAATTTTGATAAAAGATGCATGTCATTAATGTAAACCATTTGACGTATTCAAAATTTTTACGTCACTTCCGGTTAAAGTGGAAAATCGATTTTCACTTCCGTTGTGATTGAAATATTTCAACGAAATTATGTATATCGTTATTAATCTTAATTCTATGGCCGATTTTAAAATAAAATTTAGTCCGAAAAAAATACTTCGGCCGCCATCTTGATTTGATACTTTTTCATAAAACTCAAAATGGGGCTTCAGGGGAGAATGGGATAGGTCAAATTTTTATGTTGGTGTATACTTTAGTCGATGGTGACAAAAATGTTGGAAATGGATTTTTGAATTTGACTTTTGCTTTTTTGCAACTTCCGGTCGAATTTTTTCAATTTTTGAAGGCTTGTATCTCGTGACCTTGACCTTTGATGACCTTGACCTTTATAGGGTCAAAGGTCATTGACCTTGGCTATCATTTGATACTTTGACCTTTGACCCCAGACATGTACTTCCGGTTTTATAGCTATCCTTAAAAAGCCAAATTCGCAACTTTGGACTGCTCTAACACGTGACCTAATTAACCTAGAGGGTTAATTTTTTCGGTTTCCTAATGTGCTTCTCGTGTACTTTACATAGATATAGAACAATTGCTTTTTTAAAGCAAAATTGAAATTCGTGATTTTTTCAAATTTGAGTTTTGTTTTACCATATTTGTGTCTTTTTGATCTTGGTGTATGTATATCTTATGACCTATTTTATGGAGAACCTTGATATTTGGAATACAACTAGACACTTTGATAATGAATTCACCTATGGCAAAAAAATTGGGATGGGCATGGCACATCCGGGTTGAATTACTAATTGTTTACATTTTGGGGCTGGGGCATAACTCGCATAGGATACTTTTGTTATAAAAGGGACTTTGCACACAATTACCTCATCCTTTTGGCCAGTTTGTGTTAACAGCTCAGTTGTTTCAGCTTTATAGTTCCAAAAAAGGAACGGGTTTTAACATTTGGATATTTTCATTTTTCGATTTTGACCTTTGTTGACATTTGTTGACCTATATCTTTTGACTTGAATAATGTAGAAGCTTGAAATTTGAAACACAACATAACATTTGGAATATCAATTACCCTATGCAAAAAAATTAAGGTGGGCGTGGCACATCCGGGTAATATTACTCATTATTGATATTTTTAGCCAGGTGCATAACTCGCAAAGTATACGTTTGTTCAAAATGGAACTTTGCATACAATTATCTCATGAATTGAGCCACTTTATCTTAGAAGTTCGGTTGTTTCCGCTTCTTAGTTCAAAAAAAGGAACAGGTTTTGGAAATTCAAAATTTTCAATTTTTGACCTTGACCTTTGATGACCTTGACCTTTGTTGGGTCAAAGGTCATTGACGTTGTCTATTAGTTTATGCTCTCATATTTGACCTCTGACGTCTACTTTCGCTTTTATAGCTGTCCAAAAACATCCAAATTGGCAACTTTGGACTGCTCTAGCACGTGACCTAATTAACCTAGAGGGTTAATTTTTTCGGTTTCCTAATGTGCTTCTCGTGCCCTTTACATAGATATATAACAATCGTTTTTTTAAAGCAAAATTGAAATTCGTGATTTTTTCAAATTTGAGTTTTGTTTTACCATATTTGTGTCTTTTTGATCTTGGTGTATGTATATCTCATGACCTATTTTATGTAGAACCTTGATTTTTGGAATACAACTAGACACTTTCGATATGAATTCACCTATGACAAAAAAATTGGGGTGGGCGTGGCACATCCGGGTTGAATTACTAATTGTTTACATTTTGGGGCTGGGGCATAACTCGCATAGAATACGTTTGTTAAAAAAGGGCCTTTACACACAATTACTTCATCCTTTTGGCCAGTTTGTGTTAACAGCTCGGTTGTTTCAGCTTTATAGTTCCAAAAAAGGAACGGGTTTTAACATTTGGATATTTTCATTTTTCGATTTTGACCTTTGTTGACATTTGTTGACCTATATCTTTTGACCTGAATAATGTAGAAGCTTGAAATTTAAAACACAACATAACAATTGGAATATCAATTACCCTATGCAAAAAAAATTAAGGTGGGCGTGGCTCATCTGGGTTATATTACTCATTATTGATATTTTTGGCCAGGAGCATAACTCGCAAAGTATACGTTTGTTCAAAATGGAACTTTGCATACAATTACCTCATATTGTGAGCCACTTTGTGTTAGAATTTCGGTGGTTCCGCTTTTTAGTTCAAAAAAAGGAACATGTTTTGGAAATTCAAAATTTTCAATTTTTGACCTTGACATTTGTTGACCTTGACCTTTGTAGGATCAAACGTCATTGGCATTGGCTATCTATTTGTACTTTCGTGCAATTAGAAATTTTGATGACGTATATCTCTTGATCTTGACCTTTTTAGACCTTCTCTTTTACAAGATTAAAGGTCATTGACCTTGGCTATCTGCTGATACTTTCATTTGTGAGGTCTGACGTCTACTTCCGGTATTAGAATCTTCTAAAAAATGAAAATTTCTCAACTTTAGACTGTTCTTGCGCTTGATCTAATTATCGTGGAAGGATGATTTTTTCGGGGTCTTTTGCAATTTGCTACATTTGCAAAGTCCCACTCTGTGCCAGGAGTGGCTCTAGTATGTATATTTGTTTCTATATAGTTTGTAATAAATACTGTT